AAAAAAAAAAAAAAAAAAAAAAAAAATCATTCACATTCCTTTTTACACGAAGGTCCTGCAAATACACAAGGAATCATTGAAAGCAAATAATCCAAAAATTGTTAATCATGTGTTGGAAGCTTTAAAAACCAAAATTTTCTTTCTTTAAAAGTAGTTTTGTTGATGTACAGTAAAACAATGAATTTAATATAATAACAGTGAGGATGCAACCGGTTCATGGTTAACATAAAACTTTTTTAAGAAAATGAAAAGACTGAAATTGATCACTAATTATAAAATTGAATTGATAGCCAAAGTCTACGCAGCCTATTGGAGCACTCTATCCAAACTCTTCATAGTTGTTCATTTTCTGAGATTAACTTTTCACTATTCAGCTTAAAGTTCGCTTGGTTTTGGTTTAGAAAGTTTCATCCATATGCTTCTCTATTAGTTTCTAGTTCGTTACTTCCCAAATTTCTAGTCAAAAAGAGGGGGGAAAGTACATAGTTGATCGTAGTAAACCAAATTTGAAGACAAAAATTTGAACTCCCAAACATCAAGAACCAATCCAACACCTTGTAATACAAAAAAACTAGACGGCGAATATAACCCAAGTGTGAGAGGAATTTGAAAGAAAAACGACCCACAAAGTTGGGGCCATTGACGATCAGAGTTCCAAAATCACTCCATTCATCAAGTAACAAATTTCGAACATCTAAAACCAAATCCAGACAGCCGCAACGACGGACACTATCCGCGTAGGCCTCTCCGCATGTTCAGCAAATAAGTCAAAACTACCATCAACCTAAAGAATGAAGACAGACTTCTCTCGAATCAAAACGTTTCGAGTAAAACTCGTAATACAACAAGCTTTCTCCAAGAGGAAAAAACAGTCCTAAACCATGATCATTTCCATCAATTACTTCCAACGGAAAGTTTTCAAACAAATAACACCAAAAGATCAAAACCAAACACAATGTAGAACAAAAACGACGAAAACAACGACAACCAGTAAAAAGAGAAAAACAAGAGATAATCTACCATCAAGAAAATCACTGTCGTCGCTATAGGCACCGAGTTCGGGAGAAACATCTTCGAAGAACTGGAGTACGCTGCGGTCCCTCCTCTTGCGAGCAGCGGAGCTATCGGTGTCATCGCGAAGCTTCCGTTTACCGGCGGAGGTGTCTTTGGCAATCCCCTTGCCCTTGGACGCCATGGCTAAGGCGGAGAGTGGAGGATTGAAAATGGGGGAAGGAAATGCGAAGAAGAAGAAAGGACATGCAGATTGAGAGGGAAGTGGAGTTCGCTGTTCAGGCGTTCAGTGTGAGAGCTCTGCTCTGAAGGAATTCCCTCGCTTTTCTACGTACAATGCGTTTTCGCTTTTTCCTTTTTATTTTATTTTTCTTTTTAAATTCCAGTGTCCTAATATTTTTTTTCCATTAAATTTTTAATTTATTTAATTTTAATAAATATAAATTGTTAAATTAACAAATTAATTAGTAAAAATTCAACTAAATATACAAATTATGATTTTTTATCTAAGCCTATGAATCCAATATGGTGAAATTAAATGTATGGATATATTTTGCTTTCCGTGTAAATTCTGTTTTTTTTTTTAATTTCGAATAAATATCAATATAATAAAATAACATAATCCGTACACAAACATTAAATTAAACCATTATCACATTAAAAGATGTGTCGATATAGAATCCAACAAAGATTAGTGTGACTAAATAGTCCGACCTTATTTTATTTTTTAAAAAACAACTAAATATGAAACTAAACTCAATATATAGAGGCCAATCTAATCGCGCAACTTGTCAAGCCTAAAAAAAGAATTTAAGTTAATACAATATATATTAGCCATTTAAAATTCACTCCTACTTAAAATCTCAACGAAGCTATCAGTAGGAGAAGCAAAAGTATATCCATAGAACGAATAGAAATCGACTTTAGAGGCATCGAAGTCTGAGTGTGGGCAGAGATAAGGTGTAGATCTCTCAAACCAAACCCAGTAGTTTGTTTGAGACTATAAATCAAAATTTTGAGATTATCGACATAATTGGGATGAGTGGAGTTAATGAATCTCTCTGGTTGAGTCATATGAACCTCCTATTTAAAACTTTATATACTAAACATATAATTTAACGCATGTTATACTGAAATATAATCCATAGTTATCAAACGATGCAATCTAAACTCAACGAGGCACAAATATAATGGATCAAAAGTGTAAAAATGAAAGGCTAAGGTAACCCTATGAATATCAGAAATTTGTAACATCAAAAATTTCTACTACTAAATATGTTCTAAAGCAGTGGAGAATTGGATAGCATCAAATCCAAACGAAACCAAAAAAAAAGGAAGATCAGAGGTTGCATAAGGAGTTCATTGCAAGTGCACATCCCAGCTAACTCATAAGTTTGTAGAATGATATGCAATTGTAAATAAACTACGAACAGTACGTACATCTGAATTTTAATAGCGCTCGTAGGAAGACGGTCGTCCTCCCCTGCTTGGGCGGTCGTAAGGGCCTGGCCTATCTCTGTAACTTCTTCCCTCGTAACGGCCAGGACCTCCTCCAGTACCATACCTATCACTGCCACTCCTGGGACCAATATCCCTATCGTAGCCACCTCTGTCTTTGACGTAGCCATTTTGAGGATATCGATCACTAACATCATACCGATCACCACCTGTAAAACGATCTCCAGCAGATGGGTACCTGCAGAGTTTGCATACACAATCGCAGATGTAAAGCAATCAAATCATACTTCGGAAGATATGTAAATGGGTGATCATTTATCACAATCAGAACTACCTGTCGTCAAAATAGCGGTCTCGACTTCCATACTTGTCATCCCTACGGTCAAAACGATCTCTATCACCGTAGCGCCCCCCATCTCGCCCTCCATCATAACGGTCATCGACATACCGGTCACGATCTCCTCCAAAACGATCCCCACGACTATCACCATCAAATCGAGAACGCGATGAAAATGAACCTCTACCCCTACCACGTCCACCTCCGGCTGAAGGACAGTCTCGTGCCCAATGCCCTGGGCGTCCACACTTGAAGCATTCATCTTGCCCCACAGATCTATCTCCTCCTCTCCCAAAACTAGCCCTACCACCAGATGAATAGCCTCCTCCCCTGAAACCTGGCTCTCTATCATCTCCCTCCATCTTGGGTTCAGCTTTATTTACTGAGATAATCCGCTCACCAAATTCATGCCCATGCATCTCTCTTATTGCATCATCCATCCCTCGACGATCTGCAAAGGTAATAAAACCAAACCCACGAGGACGACCTGTATCTCGTTCTAACATGATCTACATAAACATCACAAGAGAATCTCATGCAAATATTAATAAATACAGCTCAATTCCAACATAGACTACGAAAATGTTTTATAGTTATGCAAGATAGCTGTGCAAGGAATAGACTTCGAAGAAAACGATCGAAAATTCTGATAACTTACTTTCCCTTCCAAGCAAATCATTTAAGTAGCAAATTTAAATGATATACTTGGAAGGATTTCTCTTCAAAGCCCTGGCAAGGTTGCCAACAACTTGAACACTGTTAGATAAGCTGTCTTCAACACCTCGAATCTATCATTTAAAGAGCAACTTTGACCTCGACTACCCTCTTTGGGTGCAAATTAGGAAATGACCCATCATAAAGTCAGAATCTTAAGCTCTAAAAGTTAAAGAGAATATCTCCCACTGAGATGACCACCCAAGGCAACCCTTCTACTGGTTACTGAAATAACTCCACTACCACTCCGTAGCCTTAACTAATTGTAGCATTCAGGCAATATTCCATTGTTCATAACCGAGTCATATAAATCACCCTAGAGTCTAGAAACCAATAAATTGAGAAGAAAAATCTAGGGGAGATACAATTTCTTGCCATAATGATTCTCTGTGTCACGCTACCACCCAATCCAATGCCACAGTAAACAAAGTACAACAGTGCATTAAAAACTTTCCGCACTTTAGATGCTATTCTTATCTTATGCTGTAAACTGGGTTTCCACCTTTATAATTTACCGAACAACCAGCATAATTTAACTGTGGAGCCAGATAGGTCACTTATACCCAAGAATACTGGCATGCAGCAGGATGTAATGACAAATGAAAAAGGTACTGCACCTGAAGCTCCAGTGTGCGCCAAAATATGTGGTAGTTATATTATTATTATCCTTTTTTGTCATTATGGGTGTGTTTATAGATTTGGTGAAAGATGGTTTACAACTGAAATTACAGTGTCTGAAATTTTCTCTGGTGAACTAACTTTAAAATATTTTACCAACAGCCTGCCCTTCCATGCCAAAGCACCCAAAAAATCATGAACATACGGAAGCACTAGAAGTCAAGAACAGTACATCCTAGTTTAGGTATAGTAAGTTCCAATTCCAAATTTTGCACAGTGCCAAGCACGAACCTTACACAGCAACCAACAGCATGACAGACGATACTGCATTCCCTATTGAATGCATGTACTCACTATTTATACTGACTGAGCAAGAACATAACCAAACTCTGTAGCTGAATTAGGCAATACAAATCAAGTTAAATGCTCTTGAAACTAAAAAGAGCAGAGATTAGGTATGGAATACTTTGCAAAATCTTTTAGGATAGAAGGCCCGGTGTAGAATGAACAAAAAAAAACTGAATATTTGGAGTTCTAGAAGCATCTGCTCAATCCAACAACTTATACCCAAATTCAATCTGTGGATTGTCGAGGAATTGAGGCGACTAACAACACGTGGCAGCAGATACATCTCCACGAAATACAATTATTACCCAATCTTTTACTCTGACGAGTAGGAAACTACATCAGCAAACCGTATGTTGAACATTAAATTTCAGTTTTTGAAGCGAAGTGTCTTGAACAATTTTCACAAATTGGGCTAGCTGCGATTTCTCATCCACAAAATCAACCACACAGAAGAAACGTCTCATCAGATATCCTAAGAGAATGAACTGAGCATCCTTTCTGAAACATTATTCTGAAAATGCTTTTCTTAAAAAATACTGTCAGTTTCCAAGCAATTTCTTGCAATATATGTATACTGATGAATAGGATTTCTTGTCTATTAACCATTTCTCCTATTAAGTAAGAATTCAGCAGATAATGTGCGAACAGACCCATGTATTCAGCATTAAGCTGACTGCCTGGACCATATTCAACAAAACAAATGATCAAAGGACGGTAAGAAAGAGAAAGCCTGAAACAAATTATTAGCTATAATCGTGTAGTTAAAACTCATCTGAAGTATTCTGATTCATATATGGCTTAAATAAATCAATGCATACTGATGGCTCAACTAACGTATAAAAAATAAATAAAGGACATAGGATAGACTAGAGATATTATAAATACACCGTATTAAAACCATGGCAGACGCAAATGGAGGGACTCTGCAACTAACAAAATAGCATTGGTATTTGGCATGAATTGTGGAAAGGGAAAGCCGACAACCTATTACGAATGTCGTAAAAATCATAGCAGGGATTTTCATCATAAAAACGCTCAAAAAACGTCCTCGACATAAAACGGCATTTACATTGTCATATTTTCTACCTCACGCATGCCGAATCATTTAGACTTTTCTTCAGAGTACAAGCCACATTTCCTTTTCACCATGACATTCAACCAACAAGCAAATAGGAGGCACACAAAAAACGGGGGAAGGGACGAAAGTTACCTGAGTTTCAATTATTTTGCCGTAGCGGCTGAAAGCGTTCTCAAGCTCACGCTCCGACACGTTCCACGAGAGTCCTCCAACAAATATTCGGTACTCGTCCTTCGCAGCCATTACTCCTCCGGCTATCAATCAGATACAATTCCTGCACAAAAACCGCAAACAGAACCGAAAACTCAATGAGACGAACTCCGAAAACACGGAAATCAAGCCTCCGTCTGAATCAACAATGAGCGATTTCAATAAAAATTGAAGAGTTGCAAAGAGAGAAGAATTAATTAACACTCGCCTTCGTTACCTGGAGTGAACCAGCGAGTTCCAGAGGGTGCAGGGTTTTTAGGCTCCAAAGACTAAACCCTAGCGTCTAAGGTCCATGGTCGAGATATTCAACAGGTCCGTACAAAATTCTAAGTTTTTTAGGCTTGGTTTTGGGCTTGGGCTCGACTCTTACATGGGCTTTTTTTGGGCCTCAAACGGTTGTCTGGTCAAGGACGGTGAAAGCCTAAGTTCAACCAATAATACAAATAAATGGTACCTTCGTGCTTCTATTAAGGTTCGAACAATTGCGGGTTGTGCAAATTTGTGTATATGCAACCCGTGTATCTATGACGCGCGTAAATGGTACCTTCGTGTTTCAATATTAAAATTCGGACAATTGTTGGTCGTGCAAAAATTTGTGGACAAACAACCAGTATATCAATGACTCGTGTAAGTGGTACCTTCACGTTCCAATATGGAAATTTGGACAAGCATGAGTTGTGCAAAAAATTGTGAGACGAGCAACCGGTGTATTAATGACTCGTGTAAATGGTACCTTCGTGCTTCATTATTGAAATTTGGACAATTACATGACTCATCTAAATGATACCTTCGTGTTTCAGTATTAAAATTTGGACCGTTGCTAGTTGTGCGAAAATTTGTGGATGAGCAACTTGTGTATCAATTACTCTGTAAATGGTACCTTCATGCTTCACTATTGAAATTTGGACAATTAATGGTTGTACGAAAAATTGTGGGATGAGCAACCGGTGTATTATTGACTCGTGTAAATGGTACTTTCGTGCTTTAGTATTGAAACTTAGACAGTTACACGACTCATCTAAATGGTACCTTCATCTTCATGTTTCAATATTAAAATTTGGACCATTGCTAGTTGCGCGAAAATTTGTGGATGAGCAACCAGTGTATCAATTACTCGTGTAAATGGTACATTCATGCTTCAGTATTGAAATTTGGACAATTAATGGTTGTGTGAAAAATTGTGGATTATGGGATGAGCAACCGGTATATTAATGACTCGTATAAATGGTACCTTCGTGCTTCAGTATTGAAATTTGGACAATTACACGACTCATCTAAATGGACCTTCGTGTTTCAATATTAAAATTTGAACTATTGCTAATTGTGCGAAAATTTGTGGATGTGCAACCAATGTATCAATTACTCGTATAAATGGTACATTCATGCTTCAGTATTGAAATTTGGACAACTACAGATTGTGTGAAAATTTGTATCTACGACTCATATAAATGGTACCTTCATATTTCAGTACTAAAATTTGAACAATTGCTGGTCGTGCAAAAAATTATCGAGCAAACATTGTATCAATGTCGCACGTAAATGGTACCATTGACAAGGCTGTCTAATTGATCAAAGTGCAAGCTAATTGAATTTTGTTCCACCAAAACGAATAAAAGGGGGATAGTCAGCTACAGGGGTGTAAGAATTGGTTGAATATTGGAGTAATTTCAGTGTTTTATTGAAGGAATTCTTACAATGTTGTATAACCAAGGTGGAATAAGATATATAAATAATTATGTTAATGAGATATACATATATGAATTATTTACATGCCTGTACATAAATTCACAATAGAACAAACTGTACCATGTTTGGAAATCTGGTTAGATTTTTCATTCAGGCAGCAAAGGAAGCCTATAGATACCAGTCCCTTCCCCAGTTGCTGATTTTGAACTAGATTTTGGTTCTTTAAGATTCTTACTCTTCAACCTCAATGGAAGAATCTGCAACCTCGGGTTCGGCTCAGAACTCGAGTATTCGGCTGCTAACTGATAACTTTCTACGAGTTCAAGCTGTCGAGCAACGATATCTGAGCGTCGAGGTAGAAGCTCAACTGGCTCTCCACCAGGAATCACGATATACTCGATTGCAAGTCTAACTTCCTGTCAAATTTAAGAACACCAGAAGAATTATGACCGTGTTTGATATGGATCCTATAGATTACAAAATATTTATGCCATGCCAAAAGAATTGTAAAAGTCTACTGGAAATGACAGATGAGTTGACTTCACAACATTATCATACAATGAACAGAACCAGACAGGCAACGTTACTATAGATTCAGATTCCCACATATCTTGTTAGACAGGATTAGCACTCAATAGAGTAAGCTATGATGCTCGTGAAAGACAATTGAATTGCAGTTGAGACAGGAATCTAGGCATCTAGCCATTAATTATGAAGCTAGTTGTACCCACAGAAAGAAACGGGAAAAAGGCACGAGTCCAAATGAATCGAAGTCCTAAGCCTACCGCTAGCAAATATTGTCCTTTTTGGGCTTTCACTTTCGGGATTCCCCTCAAGGTTTTTAAAATGCGTCTGCTAGGGAGAGATTTCTACACCCTTATATAGAATGTTTCGTTCTCTTCCCCGACAGATGTGGGATCTCACAATCCATCCCTCCTTCTAACATCATGGTATCAATTGATGTGAAACTCTGATATATGAAAGCAGAAAATGCCTTATTTCTATAAACGTGCAGAAGTACTTGTTGCTATTACAAAAATTTGACACCATTATGCAGCGATCAGCAATTTTTATTCAGATTGCCTTTCAGAACCAGTGGTATAAATGCAAGAGTACACACCCTCCACACACAAAAGCATAAATGTGGAAAGGAAATTACCTCCAATGCATCTATCTCTTCTAGGGATGGCTTTCTTTTTGGTGCATCACCTTCAATTACAATGTCAGGGGTTTTTCGAGGTTTCTTCGTTATAGAACCGGAGTCGATCTTCATAATCATGCGGATTGCCTTGACCATTTGAGCCATGGTGTTCGACTGTAAAGATAAGAGTTGTAAATTTCTGAAGAAAATATGCGTTTAATTTCTAGTTATAGAAGTAAATAGTACCTTGATTACAAACACAGGCAAGTGGTGAAATTTTGCAACACTTCGGATCCCTGGGTTCTGCTTCATTTCATCACTAGATGCTAATATTGCATCGGCTGCTTCAATGTCATCGGTTACGTCTATTTCATTCTCGAGCCCCAATACTTGTGCCACTTGAAGTAGATCAGATTCAAGAATCTGGAAGTGCCAAACATTCGCACATTTTTAATGTTATCATCAGCTATAATGTTATCATCACTAGATGCTAATAGGTCATTTACCTTGTAAGAATAGACTCGCACTGGTGAGCTCTTTTTGCTCACAGGTCTACTCTTAGACTGATGAGGAAGGTGACCCTCATCTTCCATGTCAGCATCATCATCGGCTATAATGTTATCGTCTTTCGAACGCGATCTTTCGTGAAGACTCTTTTCATGATTTGGAGATGGCCCCATTGAATGGTTAGCATAAGTCTTCACTTGACGTACTTCCATGTCAGGATCACTAGCAGCAATGATGTTATCATCTTTTGAATGTAACCTTTCGTGAAGACTCTTTCCAAGAGTTTGAGATGGCCCCACAGAAGGATTAGCATAAGTCTCCACATTACGTACTTCAAAAAGAGGAGTTTTTCCTACACCAATGAGAAAGACAGAGGATCAATTGTAATAATATATTTGAAGGAAAGGAATACACCTTAACGATGACAAATTAGTTGGAGAAGCACCTGCTAATATTGCATCAACTGTTGTATCTAATCTGTGATGAACACGACATTCTGTTTTGGATATCATCTCAACTGCACAAGTAAAAGTAGGAGGTCCTTTTCTCTCTAGAATTGTCTTTTGCACTTTTCTTTTCCTTGCTTCCTCGTCACCAAGGGTCACACTCTATGTCGAAGGGAAATGAAAAAAGGAACAAAAATGATAAGCACTTTCATCAATATACTTCCGTTCTACAAAATAGAATTAGCAAGATAGCTAGCAGATTGTAAGAGAACTTTTTCCCTTCTAGGATGAGGTGAGATCCCGGAGAGGAGAACTAAACGTTCTTTATAAGGGTGGTGTGGAAACCTTACCCTACCAGATGCATTCTAAAAACCTTGAAGGGAAACTTGAAAGGAAAAGACCAAAGAGGACAATATCTGTTAGTCGTGGGCTTAGGACGTTACAAATGATATTAGAGCCAGACACCGAACGATGTGCCAACGAGGAGGCTAAACCCTGAAGGGGAGTGGACATGAGGCGGTGTGCTAGAAAGGACACTGGGACCCGAAGGGGGTGGACTGGGGGGTCCCACATCAATTGGAGAAGGGAATGAGTACCAGCGAGGACGTTGGGTCCCGAAGAAGGGTGAATTGTGAGATCCCACATCGGTTGGGGAGGAGAACTAAGCATTCTTTATAAAGATGTGGAAATCTCTCCCTAGCGGATGCATTTTAAAAACCTTGAGGGAAAGCCGGAAAGGAAAACCCCAAAAAAGACAATATTTGTTAGGTGTGGGCTTAGGACGTTACAGATGATTGCCCAAAAATTGATTTCTGAGTTGCATATTATCATTTGACGTTTGACTAACAATTTCCAATATTCAAGGTAAAGTTATATGCAAATGCATTTGATGCAGGCAGCGAGGAGGAGGACATTTAAACCTCAATGCCACCAACAAGGATTTGCAACGATGGATTTTTTATTATGTTGTCAATGGTGATTCCGTGAGCTGTCCCTACTAGCTGAACCCCTCTTTGAGCAATTGTGCTGGCAGCTAGTGCTTCAAGTTCTGTTCCAATTTCATCAATGATTATGGTTTCAGGCATGTGGTTCTCCACTGCTTCAATCATAACCTACAAAGAAAGCAACTCGAGCCTTGACACGGGACTATCAAATGAAGTAATGGTTAAAACCATAAACGTGCGCTGCGCTCTCACCGTGTGCTGCATATGAACATTAGGGACTTGCATCCTCCTTGCACTGCCTATTCCTGCATGAGGAACATCTCCATCACCTCCAATTTCATTGGAAGTATCCACAATAACAACACGTTTCTTGTGGTCGTCTGCTAGCATCCGAGCGATTTCTCTGCATAAGTCATATAATTCAAAAGAACAGTTTTGATCCCCGAAATCGAAACTTCAGCACGAAACTTTAGCAATGTAAGACCTCAAACAAATTCCAATTCAGCTCATTCATTATGGCCTATTCTTGGTGTTGAAAGTTGAAACATAAAATCATTTTTATGGCAAGGTGGTTCGAGATTGCATCGATTTAAAGACTATTGCCACAATAAACATTGTCCCCACCAGTTCTCTTGGACTTACTATTGGTACAATGTGCTGCTAATCAAGAATCAAGAATCAAGACAGGAAAAACGGAAGAACAATAGGAGTTTGGAATGTCCCAGTTGTTCATAGTACCTGATTAATGTGGTTTTGCCAACTCCTGGTGGTCCAATGACCAAGATGGAACCTCCACCCTCTACTAAATCACGAATGATCTCAGCACTTCCAGAGACAGAACGCCCTACCCTGCAAGTGAGGCCAATAATCTGCATTTTACGGTTTCGAATTGCACTTATCCGATGCAAAGATCTGTCCATGCCCGATCGGTTGTCGTCTGAGAAGTCTCCTACCTAAAGAACAGACCAATTACCACAAAATTTGGTATACTTCTTTAAGCAAATGATTTCCATTTTAGCTTGGTTGCTTTACAAGACGAATATGTCCCATGTTCTAGTAAATTTAAGCAGAACCAATCACAAAAGGAACCAACTATACCCAACTTTATGTATAATAAAGAAAATAAGCATTAATCATACTCCGTTTATCAGTGAATCACACATATGTTCCAAGATTGAAATCTTCAGATCATTACCTTAGATATTGCGTGGCTAAGATCTTCATGCTTCACAAGCTCTTCCGAAATAGCCCAATCCCCTGACGGAAACCTGGCAATAGGATTCCTTCCCAAATCCAAGACAACCTCTATCAATTCCCGGAATTCATCGTGCGAGCTCAGCTGCTTCCTCATCCTCGAAGGCAACAGTTCCACGAACACCTCCAACTCCGCAGTAGCCTCTGACTGAGACGAGGTCGAAGCAAAGTCCGAATCCAAAATGGAACTCGAATTGGATTGATTCGTCAACAATCCATTCCCCAAAAACAACCGATCTGACGTCGGCCGACGAATTTCAGGGGAAGGAAACGACGGAGCTGAAGATTTGGACGAAGCAATCCCCTTACGCGCACGACGTGTTCGACAAAACGACGACGAGAATTTCGAAACGGAATGAGAATTTTGCAGGTACGTAGGAATCGAAATAGGGATTTGGTTAGCCGAATGCCATGAACTGTGCAAATCAATCAGCACAAAATGCGAATTCAAAGCTATCATTCTCACTCGCTCAATCCTTGCTTCCTCTGAATCCAATTCCTGTAAGAAAAACCCAGATGGGAGTAAGAGATTGTGAACGAGTAGAACAAGAAATACGCAGCAGAAGAAGAAGAAGATTCGGAGTATCTCCTTTGAGGTTGGAGATTTTGGAGGGAAAGTGGGAGCCACGAGAGCAAGAAACGAGTTGTTATTGGGCGTTGAAGGCTTCGGAGGATGTTGGCGGACTTAATGCAGACCACACAATTACTTTTGGACACGAGGAGGAAGAAGAAGCTGGAATTGAATTGGATCCTTTAGCCCAAATCCTTGGAACTCTTTGAAAAATCTTCCATTTTCCCTCTTAACCAATTCCTTGGAACTCTACCCATTCATTGTAATTTTCAATATAAAATAAACTAAGAAAAATAAAAATTAATTAATTAAATTCATTTTTAAATAATTAAAATTTGAGGATTACTGACTTGCAAACTACAGTCCTCCGCTCTACCAACTGAGCTAAGGTCGGCTTTGAGCCAACGACCTAAGGACTGCTAATCAACAAACTACAATCATTCGTTCTACCAATTGATTGAAATTTTTAATATAAAATAAATTAAAAAAGAAAAATTAATTAAGTTGGATTAAAATTTTTTAAAAGTTGCAATTCCAACCTGCCGGATTCAAACCAACGATCTAAGGATTATTGACTTGCAAACTATAGTCCTCCGCTCTACCAACTGAGCTAAGATCGGCTTTGAGCCAACAACCTAAGGATTGCTAATCATTCGCTCTGCAATTGATTGTAATTTTTAATATAAAAATGAAAAATTAATTAAATTCTAAAAGCAATTCATAGATTAAAATTTTAAAAGAATTAAAATTCCAACCTGCCGGATTCGAACCAGCGACTTAAGGATTACACTGATTTGCAAACTACAGTCCTCCGCTCTACCAACTGAGCTAAGGTCGGCTTTGAGCCAACGACCTAAGGACTGCTAATCAACAAACTACAATCATTCGTTCTACCAATTGATTGAAATTTTTAATATAAAATAAATTAAAAAAGAAAAATTAATTAAGTTGGATTAAAATTTTTTAAAAGTTGCAATTCCAACCTGCCGGATTCAAACCAACGATCTAAGGATTATTGACTTGCAAACTATAGTCCTCCGCTCTACCAACTGAGCTAAGATCGGCTTTGAGCCAACAACCTAAGGATTGCTAATCATTCGCTCTGCAATTGATTGTAATTTTTAATATAAAAATGAAAAATTAATTAAATTCTAAAAGCAATTCATAGATTAAAATTTTAAAAGAATTAAAATTCCAACCTGCCGGATTCGAACCAGCGACTTAAGGATTACACTGATTTGCAAACTACAGTCCTCCGCTCTACCAACTGAGCTAAGGTCGACTTTGAGCCAACGATTTAAGGACTGCTGATCAACAAACTACAATCATTCGCTCTACCAATTGATTGTAATTTTTAATATAAAATAAATTAAAAATGAAAAATTAATTAAATTCTAAAAGCAATTCATAGATTAAAATTTTAAAAGAATTAAAATTCTGACCTGCCGGATTCATTAAATTCTAAAAGCAATTCATAGATTAAAATTTTAAAAGAATTAAAATTCTGACCTGCCGGATTCAAACCAGCGACCTAAGGATTACACTGATTTGCAAACTACAGTCCTCCGCTCTACCAACTGAGCTAAGGTCGGCTTTGAGCCAACGACCTAAGGACTGCTGATCAACAAACTACAATCATTTGCTCTACCAATTGATTGTAATTTTTAATATAAAATAAATTAAAAATGAAAAATTAATTAAATTCTAAAAGCAATTCATAGATTAAAATTTTAAAAGAATTAAAATTCCGACCTGCCGGATTCGAACCAGCGACCTAAGGATTACACTGATTTGCAAACTACAGTCCTCCGCTCTACCAACTGAGCTAAGGTCGGCTTTGAGCCAATGACCTAAGGACTGCTGATCAACAAACTACAATCATTTGCTCTACCAATTGATTGTAATTTTTAATATAAAATAAATTAAAAATGAAAAATTAATTAAATTCTAAAAGCAATTCATAGATTAAAATTTTAAAAGAATTAAAATTCCGACCTGCCGGATTCGAACCAGCGACCTAAGGATTACACTGATTTGCAAACTACAGTCCTCCGCTCTACCAACTGAGCTAAGGTCGGCTTTGAGCCAACGACCTAAGGACTGCTGATCAACAAACTACAATCATTTGCTCTACCAATTGATTGTAATTTTTAATATAAAATAAATTAAAAATGAAAAATTAATTAAATTCTAAAAGCAATTCATAGATTAAAATTTTAAAAGAATTAAAATTCCGACCTGCCGGATTCGAACCAGCGACCTAAGGATTACACTGATTTGCAAACTACAGTCCTCCGCTCTACCAACTGAGCTAAGGTCGGCTTTGAGCCAATGACCTAAGGACTGCTGATCAACAAACTACAATCATTTGCTCTACCAATTGATTGTAATTTTTAATATAAAATAAATTAAAAATGAAAAATTAATTAAATTCTAAAAGCAATTCATAGATTAAAATTTTAAAAGAATTAAAATTCTGACCTGCCGGATTCGAACCAGCGACCTAAGGATTACACTGATTTGCAAACTACAGTCCTCCGCTCTACCAACTGAGCTAAGGTCGACTTTGAGCCAACGACCTACGGACTGCTGATCAACAAACTACAATCATTTGCTCTACCAATTGATTGTAATTTTTAATATAAAATAAATTAAAAATGAAAAATTAATTAAATTCTAAAAGCAATTCATAGATTAAAATTTTAAAAGAATTAAAATTCCGACCTGCCGGATTCGAACCAGCGACCTAAGGATTACACTGATTTGCAAACTACAGTCCTCCGCTCTACCAACTGAGCTAAGGTCGGCTTTGAGCCAACGACCTAAAGACTGCTGATCAACAAACTACAATCATTTGCTCTACCAATTGATTGTAATTTTTAATATAAAATAAATTAAAAATGAAAAATTAATTAAATTCTAAAAGCAATTCATAGATTAAAATTTTAAAAGAATTAAAATTCCGACCTGCCGGATTCGAACCAGCGACCTAAGGATTACACTGATTTGCAAACTACAGTCCTCCGCTCTACCAACTGAGCTAAGGTCGGCTTTGAGCCAACGACCTAAAGACTGCTGATCAACAAACTACAATCATTTGCTCTACCAATTGATTGTAATTTTTAATATAAAATAAATTAAAAATGAAAAATTAATTAAATTCTAAAAGCAATTCATAGATTAAAATTTTAAAAGAATTAAAATTCCAACCTGCCAGATTCGAACCAGCGACCGAAGGATTACACTGATTTGCAAACTACAGTCCTCCACTCTACCAACTGAGCTAAGGTCGGTTTTGAGCCAATGACCTAAGGATTGTTGATCAACAAACTACAATCATTCACTATGACCATTCATAAATTAAACTTTTAAAATAATTAAAATTCCAACTTGTCCGATTTGAACCAACAACCTAAAGATTACTGATTAACAAACTACAATCATTAGCTCTACCAATTAAATTAAAAAAAAAAAACAATTAAAACTCTAAACCAATGACCTAAGGGATTATTACAAACTATAATGCTCCTCTCTCCTAACTGAGCTAATGTCGGTTTGGTGTCCAACCGTGATTAAAAATAAATTTATTAAAAGTTTAAAAATAAAAGGTTAAAATTTTGACCTGCCGAATTTGAATCAGCGACCTAAGGATAACAACTTGACGATACAACTACAGTCCTCCACTCTACCAATTGAGTTAAGATCGACCGTTTGAAAATTTGATACAAAAACGAAAATAATATACAAAGATATAAAATAGTTATTTTATTCCCTAAAATGAATGATAAAATTAAAATAAATATGAAATATTTGTCTTAATAAAAAAGTTTAATCAATTAAAAGAACCCTTATTATAGGTTGTGGTAATTTTACAAATTTACCTGCATTTTTTCCTTGGTTGAATATTTCAAGAATAATATAAAGGTAAGATATACACGAGTTGAATTATAATTTTGTTTCAACTTAAAATTTTGGGTTGGTTAAATTGGTGACTCGAATGAATTAAACATGGTTCACAAACACAACTCGATCTTTTATTTTATATATTAAATATTTATAAGTTATAATATATCATTGAAAATATCGTAAGTTCTATTTTTCGGATGGACCCGACAATAAAAATTTCAATTATGAATAAGTTACCATTTGAAGGAAAATTTAATCTAACCCAATTTGGTAAAAAAAAATAAAATTTGATAATTTAAGTTTTCCGAGTTATTTGAGTCACACACCAATAGGATCAAGCCAACAAAACGATAGGAAATGACGAAAAGACCCCTACTCTACAAATTAAGTATGGGGGGTTTTCGTCCATTCACTCAAATACTTCAATTAACCAATCGTAATCACATCCACGTCAGCAACCGACGTTGGTCGTCAAATCGGAGAAGAAAAGCCATGCATCCCATTTGCACGTCGACAAAACGATTGCGATTTGTTCTTTTCACCTCATTTTAATTTCCTTTTTCTGCTGTCCTCGTTCTCGATTTTTCGCTCGAACTCCGATAGTGAGATTGGATTTTTATTTATCTTATTGTGTTTGTTCTTCCGTTTCGAATGGAATAATGCTCGTGTGATGTTCGCACTTCGAGGTATGAACTTGAACGCTCTGGTTTTTGGCAAATCTGTTTCTTCCTTCTCTTGTTTTGATTTGGATTTTCGATTCTTTGGATTTTTTTCCCATGTGCAATGTCGATTTGATGTTTATTGGGCCAAAAAATGTATTTCGTATTGTGGAGAATCCGTTGGGTCTTTTACGGGATTTTGATCTGTTATGGACGAAATCATCTTTTCTTTTATTTCGAGTTTAATCTTGGTTTTTCGATTATCAACCGAAAAATGGCCGAATTCGATCGGTTAGATTAGGTTATGGGAGCAAGAAATTTTGTGTCGTACATTTGTTGGTGTTTTCAGTTGAGAAATTAGGAACTCTCGTTTTTCATTTTCATTTTGTATACGATTCATTTTGCCTAGAACTTGGAAGAACTATCTTGCATTTGATTTCTAAACGGATGAACGGTATTAACTTTCTGTTCATTTACCTGATTGGCTCATTAGACGAGACTCCTTGGATCTCAAAGCTGGACCTAATGGTTTGGATTAGACCGTGCGATAATTTATGATAGCGTTTGTTTTTTTATGTGGAAAATTGTGGAGCGTCTTGGCTTTTCTTGACAAAAATGGACAAAAACTCTGAGGATCCCTAAATGTTCACGGTTCTTGATTGAAAATTTCTCTTAGGGCCAAAGTAAACGTTACTTAAGAAATTTGTTTATCAACTTAATACGCTTTGATCTCTTAATGGAAATTAGTGCCTGATGTAAATTTAATTGAGGACTGGATAACCGGATTCAAAATAGATTAAACAGTTTTGCAACTTCAAACAATTTTCTCATGTATTCCACTTGTCAACAATTGTTCTTAGTATAGTAGAATTATCAACCAGTTTCCTTGCTAGTTTGATTCTGTCAATCGAGTTAAATTAGAAGTTCATCGAGTTTCGTTTCGGGGCAAGTTCAGATAGGTTAATAAGATTATTCGTTTCAATTTGAAACTAGACTGATGTTCTAGATTTTAGCATATATAAGATATACAATGAGAATATCTGTTCAATTTTTGGGAATTTGCCAATTTTTCTTGTCAGTTTTGATGATTTTCAGTGTGTTTTCTCTTTTACGTTTCATCAGATGAAAAACACAGGTTTTTATGCTAATTGGCTGCTCTCTCAGAATGCTTGTTATGCCAGAACTTGCTTTTCTTTGTAGTTAGAGCACTTCTTGTGTGCTTCTAAAAGAGAGCACTTGCTTTATAATTGCAGGAGGGAATGAGTATATTAGTTCAGAGAATATGGAGATGAATAAAGGAAGTTCCCATTCGAAAGAGAAACCGTCTATGGGTCGTTCTTCGTTTTCCAGTGAAGTGAAGAAGCCTTCAGAGAAGGATTTAAGCTCCTCCACATTTGTTAATCAGGGTAAGCAAGCATCCATGAAGTTTGTAATAGCAGTTTCAGATTTGATGTTTTGTACCTGTTCTCTAGTTTCTTGGAATTACTATTTCTTATGTGCTTATTTGTGCCTGCTATATATAATTGATGACCCCATAGAATTCAAAACTTTTAGAATAAATGCTCAAAAGAAAAGAAAGAAAAAAAAAAAAAGTAAAGCTTGTTCTTTGGTTCTACTCATGCAAATTTATATATTCCATTCAATTTAGAGGCTCCACCATACTCTTTCATTTAGGAGTGACCGAAAATAGGAAACGATAAATCCCCATTTAGTTTCTTGCATCGTGTTGGAATGTGTTGATGATCTAGAACGTCGCTGTCGTAAACGTGAACGAAATAATGATAGAATTATTGATAGAGTTTTCTGAATGTGGTAAATGTGTGTGAGTTATATAAAGGCGGATGTCAGGCATAACTGAAGGAAAGATTGAAAGGAAAGTGGACTAGTAGTAATGGCTTGGCAGAGGAGGAGTTTTTCTGAGGGAAGATAGGCACCTTCATGACCCATGCTTTTTTGTTTCATTGATTGAATATCTGATGAGGCATATCATGAATCTTTGGCCTTTGAATGTGCTCGAATCGTCTTAATAAGGAATTCTTTGTTTCATCAAGCGTAGATTTTTTGAAATGGTGACAGTAACTTGAAGTAGTTATTACTTTTGGTTTGAAATGTGTTTTTCATTGTCAATCTGATTGGATGTGTTGTACAGCTGCAATTCATTGGCATGAGAGTAGAAAGAAATGGATCGATAAACAATTTCTACAACAAAGAATGGAGAAGGAATCAATGATAAGGTGATCTCTTGCTCTCTTGAATGTTCTCAGTTGCAGATAGTGAATCATTCTATTAGTTTTGTTGGTGAACTTGAAAAAAATGTTCATAATCAATAATCAAAATAAACACAACAATACCCTAAATAGGAGTAGTCAAACAAGTAGACATCCCAATTTTTCAGCAACAAAATATGCCTGAAGATATTATTAACTTAAGCCTATAGATTTTTACTGAACCTTTTCTAAATGTCAAGCTAGTGATTACTCTGACCACTTCATGGAAATTAGATAGTTAGTTGAAATAAAAAGGTTTCGTAACTCTGCCAATGGGCTAAGACATTTACTCTCGACTAAAAGGTCTAAAGTTCGTAATTCTTCTTCCTAACAAACATATTGTTGAACTTTAGAACTCAAAAGACAATTGGAGAACCTATAGAACAAATTTTGTTCAATTAAGTTCGAACTCAAAAAGGTTTTATATGTTCTTGAAATAACTCTTTGGGAGGATAAGTTCGCTTGATTCAAAGGTGTTGTTGCTGACTCGCTGGCACTCGTCGTTGTGAATGGTACAGAAGTCTTTGTATAAAGAGAAGAAAAGGAAAAAAAAAAAAAAACAGAGAGTTCATTTAATATCCTGAAGGAACGTACCTTTTCCATTTTTTACTAAATCTTAAACCTTTTTCTATACTTGGTAAAAGACGAAAGAAAAGTACCCAATAGAGACGATAGATACTATTTGGTGTCTTCTGTAACTTTCATTTATCTCAGTAAAGAAGCATTTCTCGTTAGGAACATAATCTGAATGATGAAATTTTCGCTTTAAATTTGTAGCTGGTCAACAGCATATGAAGATCTGCTTTCCTCTAACGAGCCCTTCAGTGAGCCTATACCTCTCCCGGTAAGCTTCCAAAAAGTGCATTCAATTTCTAAATATATGTGCGTGTGCGGGCGCATATAGTCCTTCATCTTGCTCGATCAATTGTTTTATGAACTCAATATGTGCGGGTGAGAATTTGAATCTTTGACTTTTTCGAAACCAGGATTTTGTTGTTTGTAGTGCATACGTATAACGTTTATTGATGCTTGTTATGTTACTGACAGGAGATGGTAGATTTCTTGGTTGATATTTGGCACGACGAAGGGCTTTTCGATTAGCGGTAGACAAGATTCGAGATCGCAGTCACCAACTCGAGCTCATACTCGATGACCTGCTACTACCTCCATCTACTGATTCCATGAAGATTGTAATTCAACATTGTTGGCATCCTTGTTCAAACTAACTACTAAATTCAACATTATTTTACTGCCATGGCGGTAACAATTGATATTTAAGTTGAAGTTTCAGAGTCCTGGAAAATTGGAAACTCGTTCGAAGAATTATTTTTTAAAATAAATTTATTTTTGTAATCAAAATTATTTTTATTATCTTTGATCAAGTTTAATTGGAAAAGTAAAAGCAAAATTTACCCTTTGTAACTAATTGTAGTAATTAATTAATTTTTAAAAAAACATCAATTTCTTTTTTTTTTTAATTTTAGTTTTTTTTATACTTTTAAAGGTCCAAATTTGATCTAGAAATTTTAAATTGCGTGAAATTCACGTTAATCTGAACCGCTCATGTACACAGGTCCCGCATGATCAAAATTGGCACAGTAATGGACGGTCAAGATCTATGTTTAATGCGTTAAAGCAATACTTGTGAAATATTCTCAAGCGATTCCCCTCCAATTCTATATATATATGTGTTTTGAAGTTAGCATTTTCCAGTAGCTATTGTTTCAGAGAAACTTTTTCATTTTCAGAGGCGAGAGGATAGGATTTCCTAGGGAACAAGAAATGAATGTCTCGATTTGTGTTTGTATTTTGCTATCCCTTTTGATTCTTTCTCCGGGTTCTTCTTTGGCTGGAATCGTCGATGATTCTAGTATTCCGTCCTTCAATTTTCCTTCCGACCAGGCTGAGAAGCTCATCAGAGAGCTCAATCTGTTTCCTAAAAGTGATGCCAATATCATCCATCGGAGTATTGAAAATTCCTCTCTGATCGCCACCGGGTCGAAGAAAATCGTGGAGAGGCGGTTGAGATTCCCAATCCTTGGTGATTCTGAGGTTTCTGTGGAGGACTTGGGCCACCATGCTGGATATTACAAGATCGAACACTCTCATGATGCGAGGTGAGGTTTTAGCAACCCTAGGATTTCGGTGGTTTACTGGAGAGTTCGGTGTTCCAGTTTACGTGCTCTAATACTGCATGTTGGATTTTATGTGCTAGGTTATTTCATCGGGCACGGTATCTTATAGAATTATTGTTAAATGTGGTTCGTGTATATCTAGTTTGTTCATCTGAAACTTATGGTCCATGAAGATGATTCGATGACAAACATGTCGATTTTCCTTCGCAGTTTACCAACTGCATGCGTTGTTACGAAGTTTTGGATGTCGTTGTAGATACTTTCAGCATATATACTAATTAATAATTATAATCTATGTTTTAATCGCAGTTAGTTTTAGTTTCTATTAATTGAAGTGGATCCTTTTTTTTCCGCTACTGGCTGTATCTGTATATATATATATATATGCATATCTTTTGCTTGAATCTGAATTGGAAATTTTGTTGAAATTACCCTGATTTGATTATCAGCAATTGCTCTGTTCTGTTACAATTTGCGTGCTTGCTTAGAGTTCTAACTGTTCTCATTTGTGTAGGATGTTCTACTTTTTCTTCGAGTCCCGTAACAACAAAACAACAGATCCTGTCGTTATCTGGTTGACTGGAGGCCCAGGATGCAGTAGCGAATTGGCTATGTTTTATGAAAACGGTCCTTTTAAAGTTGCTAACAACTTGTCACTTGTTTGGAATGAATATGGTTGGGATAAGGTATATTTGTTAGTTTTTCTATTTGATCTAGATATATATATTTGTTGTTCTCGATTTGGTTGTATCGATTTTTTTTAGGGTTAGGATCTTGCCGAGCAGTTAGGCAACATTCATCCATTTCTACTTTTATTTGGGCTACCATATCTATTTACAAAGCTTCACTGGCTGATAGAGAATAGTTGTTTTACTTCCGTTGCTGCAGGTTTCAAATCTTCTGTATGTCGACCAACCTATTGGGACTGGTTTTAGCTATAGTTCTGATAGGGAAGATATTCGTCATGATGAAAATGGTGTTAGTAATGACCTTTACGACTTCTTGCAGGTATTTTCCCTTCATTTTTCTTTGCTTAGTTACTGATATTACTAATTGGTTTTGGAGGGAAGTGTTTCGTAGTCGTTATCATTATTGATTCCACATTTAGTAACGCAACATCAAATTGATTCACTGTAGAGGAATGTAGAGAGATCGAAATTAATATCAAAACTCACAATGATATGACCTCTATTATTATTATAATTTTGTTTTTTTTTTTTTTTTTTTGTAATCAGGCTTTCTTTGCGGAAAACCCCGACCTTGTGGAGAATGACTTCTTCATAACTGGAGAATCTTATGCTGGGCATTATATTCCTGCTTTGGCTGCCCGGATTCATCAGGGAAACAAAGCCAAAGAAGGAACTCATATAAACCTTAAAGTATGTCTATTGTGTCTTAAAATTAGATCAGAAAAATATAAGAATATTCTTCTATCGACTTGATCCATCTTTAAATACGTTTGTTTCAGGGATTTGCTATTGGCAATGGGCTTACTGATCCAGCAATCCAATACAAAACTTACCCAGACTATGCATTGGACATGGGCATCATTACAAAGTCTCAACATCGTCATATTAACTTGTTGGTTCCACCCTGTGAACTTGCAATTAATCTGTGTGGTAGGTATTTAGTAGCTTGGCATGTGATTTTCCCGCGACACCGCACTTTGTCTCTAGCTTCTGATGGCATCTGATGGTATTTTTTGTTGATATGCGTTCCTTTTCTAGGTACTGATGGCACACTTTCTTGCATGACTTCTTATTTTGTTTGCAACGCCATATTTACCAGCATCATGTTGCATGCCGGTGATATGAATGTAAGAATACTGCTTTTCTTTCTGATTATAGCATTGGAGTTTTAAATTATCTGTACTTCTAATGACTTGGTTTGATTAATTTGTTAGAAATAATTGGTTTATATAATTTACAAGGAATACAAATACAAGTAATTCATGATTTCCAGAAAGTTTCAACATCGTTTCTGTCATGTTTCCTCACATTTAATCCGAATGCCTTTCACGACCGCAAATATTTAAGTAAACTTGTGTCTGCAGCCCGTTGATGGAAAATGGGAACCGAGTAGGGTTTTAACGTTGATATTAACGTTTTTCACTCTTGTTCAGCACTATGATATCAGGAAAAAGTGTGAAGGGAGTCTCTGCTACGACTTCTCAAATATGGAGAAATTCTTGAACCTGCAATCTGTTAGGGAAACGCTCGGAGTTGGGGACATAGAATTTGTTTCGTGCAGTCCTACTGTCTATAGGGCGATGCTGGTGGACTGGATGAGGAACGCCGAAGTGGGTATTCCTGCTCTACTCGAGGACGGGATCAAGTTGCTTGTATATGCGGGAGAGTATGATTTGATCTGCAATTGGCTAGGTAACAATATTCAGACATGATATACTAGATCTTACGTATGTTTTTCTAAGATTGGAGTGTCTATGTATGTGGATAGGCAATTCAAGATGGGTAAATGCTATGGAATGGTCTGGTAAGGAGGAGTTCGGGAATTCTCCGAACGTCCCTTTCCTAGTCGACGGTTCAGAAGCAGGATTGCTTAAACAACATGGCCCCCTCAGTTTTCTCAAGGTTCTCTCTCTCTCTCATATGTGACTCAATTTCGAAATGGTTAAAAATCATTCAAACTTACTTTTGATGGTACGAAGATCGTGTTTAAACGCAACAAATCTCTTATAAGCAAATCACTCAATTGTATCTTCGATAATAGGTTCACGACGCGGGTCACATGGTCCCAATGGACCAGCCGAAGGCGGCATTAGAGATGCTGAAGAGGTGGACTGGAGGCGCACTCTATGATGAATCATTTGAAACAGGAAACATGGTCGCTCAGATGTGATCCCCACCATATTCGGGCAACGTTACGGCAGTGTCCTTCCTAGTGGACATTTGTAATTCCAAGTATGTACCTATCTTCGTATTTGCCGGATTTGTTTAAATTTTCTGTCCACGAAGTTTCTTAAGCTTCAATACACCCTGTTTTTCACTAAATATTAGTTAGAGAAAATGAACGTTAGTTATATTAGTTAGAGAAAATGAAAGAACAATTAGAAGAAAATAGATAAATTAACTCCTGAATGTGAGTGCGACTGTGAAGACGATATTGACGGCAGCGGCGGGGCGGATATCGGTGGTAATGGAAGGTTTCATGGTCGTTGGTGTTAGGGTTTTTGGTTCTTTTCCCCTTTCGCGCCATTTGTTCACCTTGAGTCTCCGGCTAATGAATTTGGTCATCGTCTCATAGGGATCCAACTTCAACGGCTTTCTTTGTTTCGCTAAATAAATATCCCATGCTTTTATTTTACAATTATTATTAAGTCATTTTATTTCTTCTTATTATTTAAATTTATATTTTATAATTATTTATAAAACATATTACACATATGGATCAACCTTCAGTGTAAAATTTCCGATTTTGACATATAAATATTTATTTTTATCACTAAATATATAAATAAATTAAGATTTGTTGGACAAAATAAAATAGGGAAATATTGATATTTTTTCTTTATTGGTTTGGTTTCTAAGAATATGTGAGTGTCCTGATTTTGGTCTGTTTTTTATTTACATTTTAGACTTAAAATTATGAGAGATAATTATGTAATATGTTGGCTTCCCAAAAAGCAAGCCTTATATCAGCCTCATATCAATGGAGAGAGTATTATTTGATTATAAACCCATGACCATTCTCTAAATTAACCGATGTGAGACATTTTCATTTAACACTTCCCCTCGAACAAAGTTTAATCGAGACTCTACTCAAAAAGTCTATGCCTTTGAGGCTCACAATACTTTGTTTGACATTTGAGAATTTGCCAATCTATTGGCATGGTTAAATTTAGGGCATGACTCTGATACCATGTTACACGAATATAACTCTCTACTTTGCTTTGCTTTGGGCTTCTCCAAAAGACTTCACATTATTATTTGATTATAAACCCATGACCATTCCCTAAATTAACGGATGTGGGACACTTTCATCTAACATAATTTTCGTTCCAAGTTTAATTTCGTTATAAGATACTAATTACAGTTCTTAACCTTAATAATTTGGTAATTCTGATCCATAATGACATTCTAAATGTCAATGATTCGATTTCGATACCATGTAATTGTTCAAGTTCGAGCTCGGATTGAGGAAGAAGGAACGGAGAAAAAAACATGATAATAACGTAACCTTCCCGAAAGAAGAAGGAAACGTAGTGAAAAGCCCTTGCAAACTAAAGGAAGGAAATAGAGAAGATTGAAGCAGAAGAGAGCACGTGAAGAGGAAAAGACATATATATATTCCTCGAAGTCCCCACCAATTTCTATGTCGGAGCTGTGCTGACGAGAATTAAGTTTGAATTTGTCTCTACATGTCGTCATCGGCGCACTCGACAGGATTGTTCCGATAAAGCCCGAAGAAGAAGACAAATTCTGGAGCTCTTATCTGCCTCTACGACCCTTCAAGAAGCCTCGGATAAGCAATAATCGTCTTGCCCTTCCAGGATTTCCTGTAAGTTATCCTATTCATATCCATCCTAATTATGTTTCTTTTCTTATACTCATATTGTCGGAAACATTAGATGAAGAACCCAGATGTTTTTTCTTGAAATGTTATGATATTATAGCTGGGTTTTGGTAATTAGAGACTGTAAATTGTTCTTGGTTGTTTAGATTTGAGATGAATGTTCATCGTGGAAGAAACTGGTGTTGGCGTTGGATCTGAAACATTAGTAGCGTTTCATGGTGAGGTTGAATCAAATTTGTGTGTCTTTCATGGGCGACGACGCTCGATGAAAATCTCGTTTACAAGCTGTAGATATCGACAGGGGGGGGGGGGGGGG